TTACAATTTGACTGATAGGCCCCACTGCTATTGCTGAAATAAGGCATAGTTGTGGGTGCCTAGTTTCTGCCACAGAATTGGAAATCAAGGCAGACACAGTAGTCTCCTGAACTGAGGTTCATGAACTACTGACATGAGGACATCTGTTAATCTCCTTGTTGGCAAAGGTTGGGCTGATTTGGTGTTTGTGGCATCAAGACATGCACAACCTCAGCATTTACTGAAAAATACAAAGCTGTCATCTGATGAGGTTCCCTTCTCCCCACACTTTAATATAGCCTCTTCTGTAGCACTCAGCTGCCACGTATCAGCTCTCTGGACAAGGCCAGCAGCTCTTACACTTCTGGAGTGGAGTACTCTGGAGATCTCATGCGCGTCCCTTCCTTCAGCCGTCGGCAGAAGTCCTCGTCTATCTGCACCCCAGGGTATGGAGAGGCACCTGGTGGGAGAAGGAAGGAGGAGGCTCAGGAGTGGCACAATCCTCATTTCTCACTCCAGTGAATTAAACACATATCAACGATTTCTCTGAGCCCTTGAGATTACCTGGAGCCTGACAAGGAAAGCAGCTGGAACAAAGGGGTTGCAATCACTTACTGTGACGTATTTTGTTTGGAAACCTGTTACAGGCTCATTCTGTCTCTTTAGAGATTTCAATCATGCTGTCTCCTCTGCATTTGTGTACAGCCAGGGCCACTCCCATGTACAACATGGCAGAAGAGAGATAAATTTTATTAGTTTGGGGCTTTAAATGACCTCTTAGTCAGTGGTAGAAAACTTCCAGCTTGTTTAATAGGTTACATACAATTTTTCAAACTGAGGCTGCCAGTCTCCTGCAGTAAGTGGATACATGTGAAGCAAGTCAGTCCTGCTCATCATCCTTAGACTCTCTGGCCTCACTGGCCTCTGTGAGTAAGTGCAGAGAAAGCTGTAGGCCTCTGACTCCTGCAGAAGGCTGTGAGAACCTTGCAGTTCAGCCTCTGCTGTGGAACTTGCCTCCTGGGGCAGCAGCTTAGTACTGTATATGTGTTATGTGGTCCTACAAGTAAAATTTCCTTGAAAAATGACCTTCCAAATTCTTAGCCTTGTTTTCTTTTCTGAGTGTGCATTCAGTGCTGCTTATTTTCAGGGCCACTCAGTTGTTAGTGTGAGATCTGGGAGGGCAGTTCATGGCAACTACAATGGCTTTGAGAGGCAGGCTTCTGTAGAGGCACTGGTAGTATTATGTAACCTGGACAAAAGTTGGCCCAGCAGGCATCAGAATGAAGGAGTGAGGCTTATTTCACTCTCCTGTACAACTGGTTATGCTCAGAGCAGCAACTAGCAGAAATATATGTGTGCACTGAACGTGCTCCTCAACTAATGAGCAAGTGGAGGCTTTTCAGAGGTTGTGGTCTCATCTGCCCTTTACAATGCACCCTAAATAAGGGGAAGAAATACATAATTGAAATAGTGCTCGGGCTTCTGAGTAATCCAGACCCCACAGGTAAAACTGAAAAGATGTCTGTGCTGAAGTTTGGAAGGCTTTTCTGTGGGTAGACCTAAATGATCTGTAGGTGTTCCTCCCTTCCCTCTCAGCAAAGGCTTCCTGTGCAGGGCGACCCTTCTTTCAGGTCTGGGCATCCTAGAGGCTGGGTGGTGAATGTAGAAATAATTTAATCAAGTCTTAGCATGGGGGCTGAAGGGGATCTGGATCTGTATCCAGCCCTCGAGGAATCTCTATGTGATGTACTGTCTGTACTATTCCTGCCTGTTTCCTGCAATTTTTCCCCCCCATTTGGAACCACCATTGTGTGCTGTGCACTTGGGGGCACAACGAGCACAGCAGAAAGCTTTTGGATGAAAGCAGTGAAGAGGGTGACAAAACATGGCTGTTGCCAGGGGTATTCTACTCTAGGAATCTCTCTGCTCGGTCTCAAAACTAGGCACTGGGCAGCAAAGATCCTGGCAGCTTCCTAAGAGCACATCTCAAAACAGCAGCTAGGCTCCGATGACATTCCAAGCTCAGGGACACTCAGTGACAGCAAAGCTGAATTCCCTTGATGTGCAGTTATCAGATCACAGGATTAAGAGTGTTTCCTGGAATTATGTAGATTAGAAATAGTGAGTAGTGTAATTTCTGCTTTATATCTTGATTTTCCTTCCTAGTTTTGTCTTTGGCTTGTCGTTATGATCATAGAACCATAGAATGGTTTGGGTGGAAGGGACCTTTCAATCTCATCTCATCCAACCCCTGCAGGGAGCAGGGACATCTGCAGCTAGAGCAGGGTGCTCAGAGCTCCATCCAACCTCCCCTGGGATGGTTCCAGGGATGGGGCAGCAACCACCTCTCTGGGCAGCCTGTTCATAACCTGGTACTTACATGTTCAGCTTGAGTGGCACCAGCCTTTAGCCAAAGCTCATAAAAGCAAGGAACTCTTCCTTTTCCACCTCCACTCACCAGTGTGCTTCATCTGGACTAGGCACTAAGCCTAAGAACTTGGATTTGGGCTGCTAAAACAGCTCAGGGGGCTGAAACACATGGTGTAAGGTCTACACATGATGTTTTCCTTAGGGGAAATCTCTTCCAAAATGCTCAAAGATGTGGCATGCATTGGTTATGGTATCACTCTTTTGATCTTGCTTTTCTTTTAGTAGGATAATAAGATGCTGATGTTACACCACCAGGCACGGCTTGTTTACATAATTATCTCTGATTGCTTTTTGAACAGTGCACATTTAAATTCCATTCTGTAATGTGCCATGGAAGTGATTTCAAGATGTATTAAACATTGTGGCCATTACCTGACAGGAGGTGTGCTCACCCTGTTTAAATAATGCAAAGCTCAATGCAGACTCAGCCCCAGATGAAAATTAACATTCTCTCAAGCCCTGATTTCCTTGTTTTTCCCCAAAATGGGTCTAGTCTGGCAGCCCTTCTGGAGGGAGCCTATCAGGCTTCATTCACTTTCTGACCTTGAAAGGACCCATGTCCAAACTAAACTGTACATTTTACTGATCAGTATTTTTTTTCCTTTTTTTAAGAGGGTGCTAAATCTGTAGGACCCAGTAAAATCAGCACTTGTAAATGGGAGCCCAAACGTGCCCTGTAGCAACGACAAATAATTTCCATCCTCTGGCTTTCAACGATCTGTAAAACTTTTATGTAAGAGAGTTCAATCAGTGACACAAATCCTTAATTAAATATTTATGGTGTGAGCTGCAGAGGCGAGTCGTGCCAAACCACAGACATGCCTGGATGGTCTGCATGAAAAACCCTCTGAGAGAAAATGACTGCTTTGGAATCTGTGCCACCCAGTGAAGAAAGCAGCTTGTGATCTACGTCAGCACGAGGGCACAGGCTGCTCCACGGATGGCAGCCCTTGGAGCCATTTAGGAGATTCCTCTGGATTCAGAAGAGGACAGTCTATTGTTCCAAGTAAGCACCTTCATTAAGGAAAGAGGCTATCTAAAATGAAAAGAAAACTGATAAACTATTTTAAAAAAATAGTTAAAAATGGAGATGAGTTTCGGCGACTAGATCTTAATTTTTATTAGTCTTCAGTATTAAAGGCCAAGTGACTCACATCTCTTAGACTCTGTCAGGACCTTTGAGAGTGATATAACAGTTTGCCTTCTGCAGTGGTCCTTGCCATTCCTCACCATTCAGTTCCTGTGGTTCCTTGGAGATGCCCAAGGAGGGACTGTCCCCTCTGAGTGTGTCTCTGCATGCTAATGCTGATAATCTGTTAGAACTGGGGCATTTTTTTTTGGAGCACCAAAATAACAAAACTCTAAATAAATAGGACTGAAATCTAGAGAAAGCAACAACTGCCACTTGTGTTAACCATTTGAGTGTGAACTGTCTGTATTGCATGCTGGTATCAACTAAAGAAAGGCCCAAATCAAAGGCTTGGATTGGAACCACGTTGTGATCTTTGCAGCCAGCCCTAAATAAAGATTAGGACAGAAACAGTTCCTGCCTTTGCATCCTGATCTGGACTTGGCATCTTGAGCCCGATCATTAATTTCAACTGATCCATGAACCAAAGATAGCAGGAGATTACAGAGTTGGCTTTAAAATTCAGCAGCTTAAGTTGACAACCTTTCTTGTTTTCTTTTGTCTGCGAATGCTGATTAAAAAGCCAGAGCTGACATTCCTCAATTCCTTCAGGAAAACAAGACTTGCCACTCTGCAAGGAGGAATTGAGAGTGGCCAAGGCCAACTGTCAGACTGCTTGTCTCAATTGCAGGGCTTTATCTGCTGGACACTAGCCAGATCTCAGTGAGGCTGAGATTTCTAACAGCCTCCTAAGATGGGATCTATAGTATGTAAAGCACACCATGACTATTCTCTCAAAAATGCTGTGGCTTGCAAATGATATGACCAGAAGGGTATAAATTCTACCTGTTTGCTGCCAAAATGACTCCTGCAGAGCCTAGCACTGGTTCTCCTATCAACCTGTGGCAGCTGCTGCCAGTACAGTTCTCTTACTTCAAAAATCTTACTTGGATTTTGGGGGGAAGATCGAGGTGGGATAAAATATCACGTAGGCAAACTCCCTTGTGTTCCATGGGCTTCCACTGGCAACACCTGACCTCTGTGTCAACAGGAGCATATCTGCTGCAACTTTGAGCTGTGTAGTTTCCTCCTTAGAGGAAAATAGTTCAACAGGGAAACTTTTTCATTGCTCTCCAAGCAATGTCTGACTCCTGAGCAGCAGGGGCTTAGTGTTATCTCTGTGCTTTCTTGGTTTCAGATATTACAAATGCTAATCCAGGGGTTTGGATTTCATTTTGTTCCCCACACCCCAATATTCACTGTTTCCCTGGACTTGGTCAGGTGTTGCTCTCATTGATTTCAGTCCAGTGTCTTTATTTTACACCTGATCTGCACCATGCATTTGTATGAACTGACACAGAAACATGGCACCACCTTTTGTTAAAAGCTTTTCTTAGCAATAGAATCTTAGGGGGAGAAAAAAGTTTTAAACCATTCTTACCTAGAGAAAATATTTCCCATAGCAGCACTCCAAAAGACCAGACATCACTCTGCGTTGTGTAAATTTTGTCAAAAATAGCTTCTGGAGCCATCCATTTGAGTGGAAGTCTTGCCTGAGAAGGCAAAAAAAAACACAACACGTGTCCAGAACTGCTGGTGCTGATCTACCCAAGCCCCAGGGGAATCAAAACTTGAGATCAGCATCTCTTCCACTTACATCTCCCTTCCGTACATAGTCAGGGTCTTTATAAATATCCCTGGCTAGCCCAAAGTCACAGATCTTCACCACGTTGTTCTCTGAAAGGAGGATGTTCCTTGCTGCCAGGTCCCGGTGAATGCACTGGGAAGGAAGGAGGAGAAGCCAGGTCAGAGGTCTGTCTGGACAAGGAGCCCCTGCTAGAGCTGAAAGCATGAGACCTCCTCTGGAGATGGAGTAATAAAGAGATGAACTTGTGTTGTGAGCAGGTTAGAGAGGGAAAATGGGTGTGGCAATCTGCTGCAAGTGCACTGTGAAAAGAGAAAATAACTTGGGGAACAAGCCAAGTATTACAGGCAGGTTTTGGTTTTTCTGTGTGAAAGAACTTTCTCAGTTGTGATGGGCTGAAGGGAGTGCCATGTTCCAGTCAATTGTTCTGCAGGAAATCTGGGAGAGGGCACAAAGCAGCTGCAGCTCCCTTTGCAAAGGCAGCCCCATGAGTGGGGTGAGCCTGGGGTGACTCTGCTCGTCCTCTAGGGTGTGGGGCACCCTGTGTGGCCAGAGCTTTGTGCACACCTTGGGGGGTGTGTTACATTCAATTCAGTTAAAAAGCAGGCATGCTACACACTGCAAACATACTATTTTTTTGTATCCCAAAAAGGAGGCAACTTTGCAGAAAGTCTCCAACACTGCTGACAAGCTAAATAAATAGCTGTGTACTCCCTCTTCATTTTTCAGTAGTGTTTCTGTGGACCATACTAGATCTTTTTCTATGAGAAGCCTTCTCTGCATTTATTTATGAGACAGTTCCCCAAATTGTCTCACAGTCTGTGTTCACTCCTTCTGCCTAAACTCTCACGTTACAGGTGCCAGTCCTCGTAGCCAAGAACATGATGGATATTCCCTCACAGCTCCTTCAGACCTCTCATTGTTTAACCACCAGAGCTAATGTGATCTCCAACCCTTTCATGTAAGACCAAACAGCAAATTACTGAGGCTCAGAAGTGTATTTGGATTTCTTCCTCTCAGATGCTGAGTGTTGTGTGAAACAAGCTCAGCCCTGACAGTTTTATGAGCTCACTTTTCGGGAGGCGAGGAACTCCATGCCCTTTGCCACTTGGAAGCTGTAGCAAATCAGATCCTCCAGAGTCAGGGGCCTCTTGTACAGATCCTCAGCATCTAGGAGAGATCACAGACATGGTCAAACACTGCAGCAGCAAACTTTTTTTTTGGCAGTGATGCCTCTTGCATGCTGATGACTGCATCTGAGGGTTGTTACATGAGTGCTCTGCTAGGATCACTGGTTTAGAAATCACTGACCTAGAGGCAGATCAGGTGGTTGAAAAGTTGCATGCAGTGTTAGTCAGGTAATTTTTCTGTGGGGAAAACAACATCTGGGGATGAAAGTGAGGGCAGCTCTAGTGAGTGAGGGATCAGACTGAGGACAGACTGGCCCCACAAATCTTCTGGTCAAATATTGCTGTTGCTCCTCACACACAACAGGAGCAGCTTTTCCCTGCATGCCTTATTGCAGATCTCTCCTTGTGAGAAAGCTGGAGTGGGGCACGGGCCAGAGAAAGAACTTGTGGTGTCAGGGATGAGTCAAGCTGTGCAAGGGCTCCTGAAGTGTGTGACTGCACACGTGGCATTAGCCAAGGAACAGAAGTCTTTACAAGAAAAGATCTGGGATTAGGCAGGTTTCTTTTACCTTCTTCATCATCTTCTGAATCACTGTAGCTCTTGTCTTCAATAAATCCTGAGCTGGCAGAGCTCCCTGTGCTGGCTACGCTCTCAAGGCGCCTCTTGATCAGTTCGGTCAAGTCACTGTTGGACTCATCCAGACTTTTCTCTGCTTGGTCAGAGCTTTCCTGGGACTAGAAATGGCATAAAAGGGATTTTTAGCTTTGGAGGATGCAACGCCTGGGGATTCAAAATGTGTCACAGGATGGCATATGGAGAACGTGTCCTCTGAAGATGAGCTCAAAGCATGTTTGGACATGATGTTCCCTGAATAGCAGAAGTAATAAAGCCTGGTCCCCTATTTATTAGTACAGAACCTACTTATCAATGCAGAATCTCTGATTCTATCACCTTCCATTTTACTGATAGCAATATTCCACCATTAAAGTTAGCTGGAGGCTGGCCAGGTGAGACTGGTGGGTGAGCAGAGAGACACTCTCATTCTGGACCTCTTGCTTCTGTAGGAGCCCATGCCCAAAACCACTCTTCAAGGTATGCACACAGTGTGCACTGGAAAGCAGCTGTCTCACCCTGGCCTGGGGAGTGAGACAGAACCAGTCCCTGCAGCTCATGAAAACAATGGTGAGAAAAGAAATCTTGAGTGCCTGTACCAGGAAAATCTCCTCGTCTTACACAAAGTACCTTATGTACTTTTGTGCCTGTACACAATAGCAATAATAATAATAACAGAATCATCTGGGAATATCGTCTTGGAGATATTATTTTCTCTTTTTTTTTCCCCTGGTTTCTGGCAGGGCTGAGGTGCTGAGCCCTTGTGATGCTGTGTTGTCACAGTGAGGAGCTTGTCCCATCCTCCCCCCATCGCCCAGCTCTGGGCTCCTGCGTCTTCCCCGGATCCCAGCCAGGTCTGTGCTGACAGGAATGTCTGTGTGGATGCAGCCAGCCCAGCCCACGTGAGCTTTAACCCAGACCATGCTCGTGATGCAGTTCACTGGCACAGGCAGATTTCTAGGCTGGCACAGGGGAGGGAGGACACAGGGGATGGGAGTGAGCAGATGGTGCAAGGGCGAGATGCTTTCGGTAGCTGGGCCTAGAAACAAAACTCCCCAAACTGGGCTCGTATTTTGGGAGGCTTCACCTCCTCCTGCTTCAGTTAATTACCAAACTACCATTTTTTCACAACCTGGTATTTGTGGTCAGTGGTCATTAATTCCCTGCCTTGTGGCTATGAGAAGCTTGTCAGGTTTTTTACCTTGTAGGCAATGAAATCTCCTCGTTTTCCTCTCAGATAATTGGACAGATTTCCATATTTGCAATATTCTACTATGACCATTAAAGGACCTGAAAAGACAATGAAAGTCAAATGAGTTTTGAAGCACTGCAAAGCACTTAATACTAATTTATCCTCACAAACCCTCTTTAAGATAAGTGCATGCTGCCATTGCTGTGGTACATGAGGGAATGAGGAGACAAGGAGGTGCTGCTCCAGAAGCACAGTCAGGAGTGGACATGGACAGCAGGGATTGCAGTATGGATTCTTAGTTTTCCCTATTAAATGAAAACAGTTGGTATTTATGCCTTATTTATAAACAAAGGAAAACTCAGAGTGCTGCATAAGAATGTACAGCCCCATCTGCTGTTAAGGTTGGTTTATTCTCTGCACAGATCCATGGTGTGGAGCAGGCACCATCCTGCTCTGTTGCCTTCACAGTTGTGTGCTCTGAGTGGAGCTGATGCCACTAGAGGCAAGAAGAGTACACAGGATCACAGGCAGATCTACACCAAAAGTTACAATAATCCAAAGTTTTTGAAGCCTGGGAAGTCCTATCAGTTTCTCCCTTTCTTATTTCTGTGCAAACTACTGTAGAGTTCAGTGCAATTGCTGTTTTTATACAATTATGAATGTTTTTAAGATCTGCTTGAGAGTGCTTTTATATTTCAGTGTGAGCTATGAGGGGAAAGCTGCATTCTCTGCCTTTAGCATAATCACTGCTTTTTGTAATCACCAAAGGTAAGATAGGGTGAAATTGTGGGACTAGAATGCATAGAAACATGTACTATTCCCACTCTAAAGCAACCACACTTCCATGTCCAGAAGCCTGTTTCTGCCTAGAAGGTCCAAAGCTCAGTTTCCTGAGCTCTGATGGAAAGGTGCTGGGAGCTGCCCCATGGCAGGGGTGTTGGAAGTGGATGATCTTTAAGCTCCCTTCCAGCCCAACCCATTCCGTGGTTCAGGAAGGAGCCTCTAAGCAGCACTTGGGGCTCTTGAAGACTTCCAAGTTCCTAGTGACTACAGCTGCAAGATGTTCAGCTCCAGAGCACAGCAGACCAGTAAATGCAAACCCATGACTGGCCCCAAATCAGAGCTGTCTGTGGCTCTCCTGGCCACACCAGCACTGCTCGTTTGGGCTTAAAGGCAGCAGTGCTGGCATCTGGAGTGCACAAGAGATCTCTGGGGACCTTGTGCTGAGAACCTAAAGTCCAGTGTCCCTCATGGATGCCCTGAGGAAATGCAGATTCCAATACAGCTTTAAAGCTCCAGTTAGTGATTTATTCATGGCTTTGAAATGTTTCCTAGACGTGGCCTCTCCATATTTTATTTCTATGTAAAGCATACACTATGCATTAGTTCTAACTGCTTAACATCACTCAGCCAAGGTGTTAACATTTGTTATTTGTTAAATTGTTAAAATAATATATGTGCATACTTAATATCAGTCTTCATCAGGAATACTGTTAGCTGGTTACATAAAACCTAGCAAGGAAGGGGAAAGTGCTGTATTCTGCACTGGCTATTTAACAGGAGCTGCTGGCTGCTCCTTGAGGACCTGGGAGTACCTTGCTGGAGAGGAGATTTCTTCCCTGGCATCCTCCCAGACCTGTCTCACTGAGATGTTCATTTTTCCCTCCATGACTGGGTGATATACCAGGAGGGGTGTAAAAGCTGTGGAGAAGTGGTGCTGAAGGATGTGGTTTAGTGGTGACCTGGCAGTGTTGGGGTAATGGTTGGACTCCATGATCTTAAAGATCTCTTCCAATCCAAATGAGTGGATGATTCTAACTACATGTTCTGTGGGGAGGTGGTGGCTTCAGAGTCTTCCAAGGACAATACATGTGTGCACCATGTCTCTTGCTCTTTCCCCTTTGTTTATTTTGCTCTAGTTTCTTTGTCCTCAGCTCTCCTAAATCTGTCCTTCAGGGATTGTTTTAAAGTTCATTGTGAGCAGTAAAGAGGCATCTCTGAGAGTTGCTACCCTGCAATTAAATCAGAATATAGGAACAGATAAGGATGCTTTGTCTGGCAGCACGGGAAGGGATGTTTTAGTGACAAAGGTCTAAGATTTATGGAGTCCTTTGTTTGAGTCTGCACTTTGCAGCAGGTTTTTTGTATGCTGTACAGCCAGTTGTGCCAGCTCAGCCCCTTGAAGCCCAGGCTGGTGCTCCATGCAGCTTTGGTCTGCCTCAGGCTTCCTGTATGCTGCACAAAAAAAGATGAGAGTGAAGTGCCTGGGAAAGGAGGAGGCCTCAAGCAGCTAAGTGCTCAGCCTGGTGCATCCTCCTGATAAGGCAGAGGAGAAGAGGGAGAAGAACCTCTGAAATGATGAGTAGTGCCTGTGTGGAGGAATTGGGCATCTAATTGCAGCTAAGGATCCTGCCTCCCTTCAGCCCATAATCCCCTTGGAGAACGAGCTACAGAGGGCAGGGAAAAAGGGAAGAGAGAATCTGGGAGAAGACATCCAGAAAGCAGTGATGAGGTGTGGCCATACTCTGCAGCAGCAGCAGCTCTCCTAGGAGCAGAGAGGTAGAAATTTTTGTGCTTGCATTGACTGCGTGCACGTGAGACTGAGACTCTACCAGAGATCCATCCAAACACCAAAGTGCTTCCCTCACTGCTCCTTATTTACTGAGGACTTCTCACCTCCAGCTTTGGTGCAGGCTCCCAGCAGGTTGACAACATTCAGGTGATGTCCTATATGGATGAGGATCTTGAGTTCAGACATTAAAGCCTTGCATTCGTTATTAGTGGCACATTCTGCTTAAGATAAACAGGAAAAATATCATCTTTACACAACAGGATATTTTTGACAGGACACAGCAAGATCCTGTTTATACTTGGAAACAAAACCCACCCAGGTTACTTGCAGTATCTTTGCTTTTCAGACCCTTACACAGATAATAATTCATCCGTTTCATTGTCTGTTGACCTTTATGAAGTGGGATAACACTTTATCTTTTGGGTGACTCTTCCTTTCTCTAGCAAGGGTTATGGAGGGTTACTGGTCTGTAGGAGAACCCTGCCCCCAAATCCTCCATTGCAAGGACTAATTTTAGCAAGCTTAGCAAAGTAACAACCAGCCCCTTTGAGCAACATCCCTCTGTAATGTTGGTGTGGAGTTTAGTAGTGCTTCTTTAGGGTAGCCCAAAATATATTCTTCCACAGTAGTGAGTGACCCTCCACTGCAGGAGATGGAGGAATCCAACACATCTGCAAGCTGGGTGAAGGTCCTGGAGAACGTCCAGCATTGCTACATCAGCCCTGTGAGATCTCAGCCACCCAGGAAAGGCAGTTTCCAGCTAAGCAGGGCGGGCTGTGTTTGGGTGTGAGCCAGGAACTTCACACCTCCAGTGCCTTTTGCCACTAAAGCTGAGGAGGGCTCTCAGACCAGAAGGTTGTTCAGAGGCTGGCTTGTTTCCTCTGCCTTCTTTCCCACCTTTTGTGGTGTATTTTGACAAAAGGGGCTGTGTCCTCTTGCCTCTGGTTTTGCCTTTGTATCGTGTAAAATTTAAATACAAAGAAACAGCTTCATAACAGATACTTAGTGTGCCACAAGTAACCTCTGTAGCTGTTTTTAGAATTCTCCAGAAACAAATCTTTCACCAAATGGTGCCATAAAGAAGGAGCTATTCCAAGCCCAAGATCTCTTCACTCAGCAGGGGTGTGCACATGGGTGGTGTTACTCCTGATGTACCCTGGCACGAACACATGCCTGGCAAAACCTAAACAGAACAGCCTCAGGAGTGCTTCAGAGAGTCTTGCACATTAAGGTTTAGCCTTCGACCCAGAAGTGATACCAGCCTGCTTCATGGGAATGACAGATAATGCCAGAATTACTGAAATGCAGACATCTCCAGAGCCTTGGGGCTTTTTTTCCTGAATGGATTGACTCACGCTAGAAAATCTTCTTTATTCAGGGAAGTGATGAATTATGGGCATGTTAGTTGGGAAGGGACATGTTAGAGCAAGAGGCTGCTGCCTCTGCTGGGGGAGGAAGGTGTAAAATGATGGAGGAACTGTCAAATAGCTTGCTGAATATGTGCAGGCTTGGGAGAGCTGACGTGAGGATCAGCTGGGAAGCACAGGCTGGAAGTGAACGGAAGCCCAGAGCTATCTGGGGCAGCAAGTTTTGGATGGAGAAGGGAGTGTGTCTGAATGAGGGGCTTCTAGGATATTTCAGGGATCCAGAGATGGGCATGGAACAGAAGAAACAACAGGAGGAGGGAGGATGATCTGAAGATGTACTGAGAAGAGAGACCAGATTCAGAGGAGATCCAGACAGGTGATAAACTGATGTTTGTGACATTTCAGAGAGATGGGGATTAGTGGAGCACCCAGAGAGGCAGCCAGTGACAGAGTACTGTGATGGAAGCTGTGGAACCATGGCACCAGAGGGGTTAACACCATCATGCAGCAGCAATGCAGAGCAGTGTGGGCTCTGGAAAGCCATCCAGTGAGCGTGGATTGGGGCTTTGAAGAAGTCCAAAGTGAGCAGTTCAACCCTGCAGCCCAAGCAGTGAGTGTACTGGCTGATGCATTTATTCCTGAGCCGTCTGCAGAGGCTTTGTATGTAAATAGAGTCTGAAGGGGGGTCAGAGTTCCCCCTTCTCCCACCCCCCAATGGTAAAAGCTTTCCTTAATTTCAGTAATTGCAAGCAAGTTGTCTCTAATTCACTCCCTTGGCATGGCTTTTTTTTTCAACCCCTTGAACCGTTCTGCATCTGGAAGGGCTGTGATGGAAGGCTCAGATCCAATTTCAGACTATCTAATGTAATTACACTCTGTAATCTGTTTCCCTCCTAACCCCCCCAGCCCTGGAAGCTGCTGTTTTCCTCCTGGAGGAATAGGAGACTTCATCAGCAGCGCAGCACGGAGCCCGCTTCTCATTTCCTACACGTTAGCAGCCACTGTGGAATGACTAATTGCTCCCAGATGACAAACCCCCTCCCTTCTGAACACAATGAACTTGGGCCTGGTTTGGAGCTGAGAACTGGAAAGCTTGTTGCCCACGGGTTCCCTGTGAGAGCCTCAGAGGGGGATGTACCTTTGAGCATTTTTACGGCAACTGTTTTGCAGGTTGAAGATTTATCAATGCCAAAAGCAGACGCCTCCACCACCTTCCCAAAAGCACCATGACCCAGTGTTTTACCTAGAGGAGCAAGAGTGAGAGTGAGCCAAAGGGGACTTTACAGTCTGCATCAGATAAGAGGGAAAGGTGCATTCTCAGCTAGGCAGGGAACACGAGACTCCAGTGCCCAGGCACCACGTCGCCGTGGACCGACAGTCAGCAGCAGCCTGTATCACATCTTTGCAGCCTATGGATATAAATGGAATGATTTATACCCATGTGGCTGTAATGCAATACAGTGGGTGATAGAACAGAGGAGAATAAACCCAGCTGCATCCAGCTGAAGGCGAGGCTGAATGCATCTGTGTGGCTTAAAGGTAAAAACCTTACGTGTGGTTGTCCTGAAACCCAGAAAAGTCAGAGTTTGGGATAAACATAGGATTGTTTATTATCTCTTATGAATCACAGTCGTGGAGGTAGCCAGCCAAGGCACTCAGGCAGTCAGAACCTTTTAACCCTTCAGATATTGGCATTTGTTTGATATAAAAGCTATACTAAATGGAATCGAAGATGATAATCTGTCTTTATTTTCCCTTGCATTTGAATTTTCATGCCTGTGTACCTGGTGTGCTCTGAGGGCTCTGACCCACAATGCAGCAGAGGACACTGGCTATCATGGTCTCTCTTTTTAGTTCTGCTCATTTGGCCCTGTTTCCTACCATCATCTCATTTTTTTTTGTTATTTTGTCTGCATTCCTCCTTCTTCCAGCTCAAGCACCACAAGCACACACAAATACAGATCTATTCCCTGCACTCAGTGCACACAGATGTTAGTTTCTCTACACAAACCCAACCTGCTTTTTACATTTTCTTGCTCCATCATCCAGCCAGCTGAGCTTTTGAATGAAAATTGGTTCATTTTTCCACGATAGCTCTTTACAACTCAATGCCAAGTTAAAATGATTGATAAGGAATCGATTATTTGATAGATGTCTTCAAAATAAAATCCACTGAAGGATGTCACCTTTCAGACTGACTCCTCTCTGGGTGTGAAACTGTACTTTTGGCAGGGACAATACCTGAAGGAATCTTTCTTCCCTGTCAAGAGTTTGGCTTCACTTGTCCAAGAAACAAAAGGAGGTCGTAGCTCTTTTGAGGGAGCCAACACCTTTGCTTTCCTTCCCCAAACCCTTGTTTAAGGGCCAGATAAGGATGATCCTGAATTCTGTGACTCACTGCTGATTCTCCCCGAGGATTTTAGTACACAGGCACGAAGTGATAAGCTCTTTCTTGGGCTACACAGCAGAGCCCCTGAGGCTGAGGAGTGTTAGAAATCATCACTCTGTGATACCCAAAGCACTCACCCAGGCGCAGCCTGTCCCGGGGGAACTCCCATTTACTGCTGTCGTAGGGAAGCCGGTCACACTGCTCGTCGAGAGGCATTTCCTCTGGATCCATTATAATGGACAGGTATCCTGTCTTAATATCTGTGGCATCAGGCTGAAAAAAAGGGTGTGGAGAAATTATTCACAGTGTTTACCCTGAAATCCTGACGGGAGAGAGCTGTCGTCTGCAAGAGTGAGTGCTGGCTGAGGAGCTCCCTGCATTCCAGACTTCAGAACCATGAACACATCCCTTCAGATTCCTGCCTGGTTTTTATTTTTTATAGCTGAGAAATCAATGTTTATGTATTTCTGCCACTCATAGGTGTTGGGAGGAGTCACAAATGAATGCTGCTAAGCACTCTGAGGACACAAAATCTATCGCTGCCTTCTACCTGTGTCTGCTGAAGGAAATCAGTGTTTTTCCAGGGGAACTCCCCCAGTTGTGCTTCCACTCTGGTGTTTTCACAGTGTTTTGTTTTGCAGGCTCGATTCTCCATAGTTATCCACTTCATGGCTATTGCTTATTACAGTTTAAAATCGATTGAAAGCTGGTGAAACCTGCTGCTGCTGATGTTGCTGAGTGAGAAATTGTGGCTTGGTGGGGCCTGCGAGCAGACTTGCACAGGTATAAAGTGTAACAGGAAATTCACTGTTGTCCACAACCCCAACAGACTGAGGTCAAGGAGGGAAACATGGATTTAATCACGGTATTTTCAATAGGAAGGGTAATTTTACTCAGGTATTGGGGATCAGCACTGGGACTGTAGTTTGGTGAGCTTCAGAGCAGAGAGCTGTGGTCGCCTTTCTGTTTGCTGTAGGTTTTAGGAAAAACAGACCTAAATTCCTTGGAATACTGAAACAACTTTTTTTGAGTCACAAATGGGGGTGAAATACCAGCAAGACTTTGAGACAAATTAAGCTGCATGGTTTGAGCTCATGTCTACAGCTAACAACTTGGGATCTTTCTTAAAACAGGGCCCCTTTTAGTGCCTGTGTTTCAGAGAAACCTCACTGGACAAGTGCAGAAATCAAACCCCTATTTTAGGGGATTTAGGATTTTTTTTTCAGTTTCCTAATCTTGCAAGCCAGTTGGACTCATAAAGAGAGAGGAGTCTGATTTTATGGTAGCATGGAAGTAGGTAGAAATCTCACAAGTACAAATATCTTGAGATGTCAAAAGACTATCAGCAGAAATCTTGGACTGACACTTTATAGGGACACTTTGCACAGTTTTTCTGCCATCTATCCCACACATTCAGCCCTAAACTCTGATGCTACACCTAAACTGGGCCCAATCCCAGCCCCTTTGTGCAACGTGGGAGCTCTCTTACTTTTCTCAGTTTCCGAATGAAGAGGGTCAGGAGCAGCCAGAAGAGGGTAGCAGCTAGGCCAGTGCAGACCAAAATGATGACTTCAATGTTGGACTTCTCCTCAGAACCTGTGGGTTAAATGTACAGTCAGATTTTAAACGTAGCCAAAGCCTATGACTGAACAAGAGTCCTCCTTGGTCCAACACAATCTGCTTGGCTTGGACCTCACCTTGTATTTTAATGAAGGCTGATGTGCTGTCCTGGCCCATGTCGTTGGAGGCCTTGCATTCATAGAGACCTTCATCATCCTTCTTCACTCGCTCGATCACCAGGGTGTTATTTTCCATGGAAATTCCTGTTGTAAGGGATTTTGGTTAATGCTATCACAACAACCTACCTGCCTACAAATGCTTTTAGGAGACAGGGAACTGAAAGTCAGCTCCCACCCACGCAGGCCTTGTACACACTGTTCTGAGGAGGTGTTTTAACACCATGCTCCTCATTGTGGTCTGGCAACAACCTTTCCCTGATGTTCTTCTCCTCAATAGCTGTGCAAATTGCTTGGGGATCATTTAACCAACAGCAAGTGTGGCTGTTTGTTTATTGTCAGCAGACAGAGCCTGAGAAAACTTCTGTGGAAGTCAGTGAAGTGATGGGTTTTCTGGTAGCAATGAGATACACTGGGGAAAAAAAAGAGAACTCAGCAAAATTATTGGAGAAAGCCAATGTCTTGGGGGCTGTGGGAAGTGACAGGAGTTGTAGCACGTGGAACATGGAAATCTTGTTGTGCACATCCCTAGAAAAATCACTGTGTGGAGCCACCCTGGACTGACAGGCAGCAGGGGCTAGAGGTGGAGTGGGAAGAGGGAGGTTGCCTAGATATGACCTACAAGAGGCTTTTCTACATTAAATTTTTCTGATCAGTTTTCCACATCTGATTTGTGGCACAAAAGGGAGAACTCATCTGGGATGAGGGATGCATCTGGGGCAGAAATAGGGAAACAGGTCAGGCTTTGAATCCAAAAGGGAAGGACATTTTGAGTTTCTGGGTGTTCTGCCTGTGAGTCTGTTGTTGTTAACAAGAGTACTGCACGTAACTTGCCACAGACTGTGCTGAAATATTTACCCTGAGGTGTTTCTTCCAAATATTTTATTTATGTTTCCATTGGTTGGATGAGTTACATGCTTGTCCCTCTAGAATTATTTATAAAATTTCAGTAGCAATAAAGAGTTTCTCTCAGAACAGTCTGATCTGAATTATGGATGATCCCAGATTTCCTACCTAGTCCAAGATGCAAAATTAAAGTCACAGGACCAGCTACTGCCATGGGATTTTCTGTGATTTATAGGAGATGTCAGGTCAGAGAGCTGAGAAGCTCTCAGGTGCTCAGGTGCTCTGGTGCTCTGGACCAGCTGAGCTGAGAGCACGATCTCATCACTGTGCTGTGGGAGGTGAAGGAGGGATGTGTCATCTGCTGTAGCATGGCCTGGACCCCACTGTTGGGTGACTGCCACAGCATGCTGCAGCATCAGCCTCCACAGCTCCTGGCAGGAGGCTGGAGCCAGGAGGGGTTGGGCTCTTCTCCCAAGGAACAAGAGATGGGCCAAGAGAAAACAGCCTCAAGTTGCCCCAGGGGAGGTTGAGGTTGTCCCTGAGGAACAATTTCTTGCCCTGGAGGGTTGCCCAGGGCTGTGCCAGGCTGCCCAGGGCAGGGGTGGAGTCCCCACCCCTGGAGGGGTTCCCAAGCCGTGGAGCTGTGGGGAGAGGGACACGGGGCAGTGGGGACCTGGCAGGGCTGGGGTAATGGATGGCCCCAATGATCTTAGAGGGCTCTTCCAACCCAAACAATCCTATGATTCTGCTCGAGCACATCTGACAGCTCAGGCCTGTCTTTCCAGACAAGCAGGTGCACTCCCTGCCCCAGTGTCTGACACAGGGCTGACCCTGCAGAGGCCCACACAAGGTGAGCTGTGTAGGCAGGCCGTGGGGTGCAGCCACTTGGCAGCTTTGACCTCCAAGCCCAAGCTGGAGACTGCCACAGTGGTCTGAGCCGTTTGGATTTGTGTCCTGAGGTCGTGTGTTCCACCCTGACTCAGCTGTGGTGGCCGTGGAGCTGTAGGTGGAGTTGTAGGTCCTATATTTGCACCCAACCTGTGCAGCCATTACCCCGTGTCACACAGGAGACCACCACCAGCAGCTTGGGAAGCAGGCAGGCTCACCTGATGCTGCTGAAATGGGGTAGCCATTCTTCCTCCAGGTGATCTGAGGGTCTGGGGTTCCACTGACTTTGCACTCCAGCACGATCTTGCCGCTGATGTTGACCTCCAGGTCTGTCAGGTTTTGTATCACATAGGGGGCTGCCTTTGCTGCAGTCACAAAGGAGAACAGTGCACTGTAAGTTTTCAGGAGGTACCTCCCTCTGCTCTGCCACCTTCTCTCCTTTGGCCTCCTGCATGGCCTCTCTAGGCCCAGGTCTGTCAGGTTTTGTATCACATAGGGGGCTGCCTTTGCTGCAGTCACAAAGGAGAACAGTGCACTGTAAGTTTACCTCCCTCTGCTCTGCCACATTCTCTCCTTTGGCCACCTGCATGGCCTCTCTAGGCTGGAAGTGGCAAAGATTTGGTAGGAGAAATCCCCCAGGAGATGATGGGAGGAGTGCGTGAGTTCACTTGGTTTATTCTCCAACTGTCTAAGCTTAGATTCAGCTTCAGCTCAAACCTCCCTGAGTTTCTCACCCTCTGAAGAAAACAGGACAGTGAGTGGGTAGAGAGAATGCAGAGTGAATACAAAAAAAGAGAGGAGGAGGCAAAGAGGAAACACATCTAAGGATTTTGTGTCCTCCATCAGGAGTGCAGTTATCTGCTTACTACAAAGCATGTTAACCTCCACTTTGTGTTCATTTCTAGAAGGTACAGGAAAGCCATGAATAAAATCACAAGCACAGCATAAAAAATATGTAAAACCTCCAATAAGGTCAGTAGCTGATGGGTGTTAGGACATCTAAAAGACCTTTTTTGTACACGGGAAGGGGGGCTGGTTTGGAGGGGCACGTTCTCCAGAAAAATTGCCTCTGTGACATGTGCCAGGGTGAGATTCCTTCCCTTCCTCCTCCCTTGAGGAAGAGGCAGGAGCTTGTGCCATTTCTTAAACTAAATCACCTCCCACAGAGGTGCTGCCTGGGTGAGCATCTCCTGGCACAGAGCAGGACAAAGTGCTTGTGGCAGCAGAGATGTCCCTCTCTGTCAGTGATGTTAAGTGGAGAAGCCAATCTGAAAATCACTAATTCAAGTTCTGAGGGACTCTTCTGCACCCTGGCTTTTGTCTGTTTATTTCCATTCTACTTCATTTGTCTGCTTTGCTTTTTTCTGCACCCGTTGGAAGATAGGTAATAAATTCCCTTTTTCCAGCAGCACTTTTGTGGCTGAGAAGGCTTAGAGCTGGTCACTCACTTTCTTCACTGTGAAGCAGAAGAAATGGCACTAATTATCAGTGAGTTTCCACTGGAAGAAGTGCCCTGGCCCTTATAGTCACAAAGCCAAAGAAGCCAGGCTTTGGGCCATGGAGTGTTCCTATTTTTATGAAAATAATATAAAAGAATTGGAGGATTTGGTAGAAGTAAGAAAATATTGTTATTCCAACGGAGTGCATCCCACTTACTCAGAATAAAAGGTACATGTCACTTGATTTTACACTTGACCAGTGACATTGGTGGTTACATCTGCTGGGTCCAAATCTGTTCAGGTATCTATCTCATCCTGGCAGCTGGAAGGGAGTGGAATCTTCTACCAAAGTCATACCCATCTAGAGTGACAGGCCCAAATGAGGATTGTGCTGTTGGTAGCATGCTGGGTGATGCCTTTTCCCCTGGGTCAACACTGAATCTGCACCCAGCATGGAGTCAGGAAGGTAAAATGCAGCTAAAATCACCTGTATGCACCAGGCAAATATTTCATACAACCCCAGCAGTGGCTGGATGAGCAAATAGATATGGCTGGGTGTCAACCAATGCCAAAAAAAAACCCGAAACCACAGCACAAAGTCGCTCTTAGGACAGTCCCTGAGAAAAGCTGAGCACCTGCTGCCTGAGAAGGTGTCCAGGGGGGCAGCAGATGCAGGACCCACCTCGGACGAGGAGCTGGGTGTGCTGCTCCAGCGTGTCCGTGCTGTTGTGCTGGTTCTGGGCTCTGCACCTGTAGAGGCCACTCTGGTCCTTGGTGACGTTGGCCATGACCAAGGTCAAGGAGATGGAGTAGTTGTCAGTCCTCCTGATGAGGGTGCCACCAAGGGCTGCCTCTGAGGAGGGGGAGGACCAGGCCAGGTGGCTGTAGATGTACTTGGAGGCCCGGCAGGTCAGCTTGACCTCATTCCCCACGATGGTTGTGACTTGGGGCTCTGTCTGCAACCCAAACGGCACATCTAGGAGGAAAGGGAAACGTGCTTCCAATTAAGTCATCCCTGAGGAGCTCTTTGGCTGCTCGTTTGCAACTGGATGGTCAAATTTCAAAGACCAGCCCTAACGAAATGAGACATATTTAATGAGAGCCTTATTTGCTTGTGAATGAAGTGTCCCAGTGCTGACCTGTGGTCATTTGGCCCTCAGCATTCTAATCATTAAGTTTTCAAGTAATGAATTGGAAGTTTATATCTAGAAGTAGCTAATGGACTAAGAGTTTAATCAAGAGAGGCTGCTATCCAGGTAGGCAAAGGGATTCCTGAGCTCTTCTCTCTGCAATCAGCACTTGGAAGAATAATTGCATAAGAATAGAGAAACCTGTTCCTGTTTTTCAGCAGTAACACTCTCTCTTCACCACTGAACAGTCTTCCCAATTCTTATTTCAACTGTGCCAATATGTTTTTTTACCTCACAGGTGCCTTGGTGGATATTCACTTGATCACTGAGTGGTTTAACTGATCTAACAGTGTGTAAATTCTTGAGGCCTTTATATGTAGCACAGAAATGATCTGAGACATGAGTCCAACCTACCCACAAAAGAATAAGCTGGGTTTTGCTCTGTTTTTAGTAACTTTTCACTCCAGAAAAAAAATAATCAATTTTCCTGAAGTGACAACCTGAATCCATTTAAGACAAGGAATTTCTTGTCCTATTTTTTAAGAAATTTTTTAAGAATCTTGGCCTTTATATGTAGCACAGAAATGATCTGAGACATGAGTCCAACCTACCCACAAAAGAATAAGCTGGGTTTTGCTCTGTTTTTAGTAACTTTTCACTCCAGAAAAAAAAAATAATAAATTTTCCTGAAGTGGCGACCTGAATCTGGTTAAGACAAGGAATTTCTTGTCTTATTTTTTAAGAAATTTTTAAAGAATCTTGTCTTATTAATTAAGGTCAGGAGTTTCAAGCAGCTGAGGGTTATGAGGAATCCCTTATAAATTTTAGCACGTGTGGTGCAGGTCCAGGACACTTTGGGAGGACTTGGTCTGGTTTATCTTCTACACACAAACACTGTTGGCAATAAATCTGATAGATTGTTGCTTTGGTACCAAGCTGTTAGTAAGATGCCTTCTCAAGCTTGGATGAAATGGATGGTACTTGGAGGAGGACAGAAGTTAAAGGGGAGCAAGTTTGCATTGCACTTGCAGTCTGACAAACTCCACATGGGGGCTGGAATTTGGCCAGGGGCTTACCCTGCAAACTCTTCCAAAAAGTCCTGCTGAAACTGGAGTTGAGCATAAACAGCAAAGGCTGTTGAAATAACCAATCTGCCTTATAATAAACCATATATTGTATAAAACACAGAGCCCTGAAGGAGCTTTCAGATATGATTGAAAGTCTCTCTTCTTCACAAGTGTTCTGGAATAGAACCAGTAAACTTTGCTTCATGGGTTTAAAAGACTGGCATCAGAAATATTTTACTAAAGATCCAAAAAGAGAAGAGACACCTCAGGCCACAGCTGTGAAAATTGTTGATTTTCTTTTCTCTCCTTTTCATGAAATTTTGGTTTACTTTGTGCAGTGTTTTGCTAGGCTCATTGCTCTCTTTCTTGCTTGGTGCTAGCCATACACTCAGGCTGACTGGTGTAAGACATCCATTCTTCACATCCAGAGTCCTGTGCTTCCAACAGCTCAAGATGATGCTTATCAAAAAGGAGAGAAAGTCTGAGGCCAGCAGAACTTCTCTAAACAAGAAGAAATAAGGTCCAGTGAAAACACTGGGCTGTGGGATGAGGAACATCTCAGCATCCCCTGAGTCTGCCAACCCAAGCCAGGGAAGACGTGCAGTTTTAACTTGCCCTTTTCTTAGTCTCTCTTCCAAGCACTTGCTAATTGCTCCTGCAGCAGTTGTAGTGCCAGGGGAGGAAATGTGGCATCTCTGGGGCTGAGGCACTGGCTGGGGTGTGGCAGTGGCAGCGTGGGCTGGAGCACCCACAGATCTCTGACATCTTCGTGCAAGCTCCCAATGAATCTGATCTATTCATTTCTAAGCCCTTAAGCCATGAGGGATGCTCAATAGTTTCACCTTGTGCTGGACTTCACCACTGCAGGGTCTTTTCTACCCACTTAACATTCTGGGAGCAGAGGGCTGGCTCATTTTTCTCATCATTTCTTCTACTGACCTTTTTTATTTAGCTTTTAAGAGTATTTTTAGCTGGAACCTGTGGTATTCTCTTCCATCTTGTTAGCCTTTCCAGAAGCTCTTCTTTCAGCTCCAATAGAATATTCATTGATTTACATTACAGTAGAAGGAAAAAAAGGGGAGGGGGGAATCTTGCTTGCTCTCTTGCTCTCTTTTCTCCTCCTACCTGGATTATCTGGGGAGTAACTGCAGCTTTGAGAGCACATTATAAGTCAGTTCATCTCTTAGACTACTTTGCTTACACAATCTTGAACCTGAGCAGTCATTAACTTCCTCTCTCTGAACAGATACAGTGTTTTATAAGACTCCTAATAAGTTGGCTTAAAAGAATGCACCATGGGGCCTTTTCTCTTTTATCAGCAGTCACCAAACATTTGTCTTTCATATTGTATTACAGTGTAGTAGCTGTGAATTTCTCTCTCCCCTGTGTGGGATTCCATGGCAAAATAGGGAAATGAGCCATTGGGGGAAGGTAAAAAGTCAGCATAAATCAAAAGAAAGTCTGGCTCCATTTGTATTTACAAGGAATTAATTGGTTTTAATTTCCTGTGCTTTGCACAATAATCTGTGTAATTCAAAACTTCTGCTCTTTCCCAAATTCCATCCCTGTGCCTGTCGGGGTGGGGGGGTTGCCAGCAGGCATGTGAGTGGAGGGAGAGTGAGGAAAAGCAAGGGTGAGCCCTGGCCTCTGAAACAGCACAGGGCTTCTCAGGAATCCTGTAAACATGTCAGGAATAAGCAAATGGAGAGTGGCAAGCCGTGGTGGAACAGCCCAGTTCATACATTGTTCTAACATCTGATAGCAGATTTTTATCTCCCGTTTGAAATATAATATTTTCTTTCTGGTAGAAATCTTTAACTCCATTTTTCAGAGGTTTTGCAATCAGATAAACCCTTGGAAAAGGGCTTTTCTTGTTATTTGTTATTCTTATCATAATTCGTTTGTATTCCAAGAACATTCAGAGATTTCATATGGGTGGGAACTCATTTTGTTGTATGTAGCACAATCATCCAGAGGCTAGAATTTGATTTACTGTGGGCCTACAGTAATATAGAGTTGCCCTTTCCAAGGTGCAGACCAGAGATTAGAAGGTAAATAATAGTTGTTCATGGCAGTGAATGCTGCCAGGAGACATCAGGTCAGCTTTTCAGTGCACGAGGAAGTCAGCCTTGAGTGTCCTTTGGGGTGGAGCTGCTGGTGGGCAACGGTGGGAAGCAGCTCTGAGCATCTGATGGCCTCTGCCCATGGCAAAAAAGTCACCTGCCTTAAATGGGAACACTGGTGTCAAAACTGGGGGAGGCAAGGGAGAGGTGTTGTTTCCACAAAGAATCAGTGAAAAGGATTTACACACACAAAAATGAAATATGGGAGTAAGAGTTAGGCCAAGGGATGGTGGGTAACCCAGCTCCTGCTTTGCTGAGGAGGTTTCTGCTGCCAGGAACAGCTTTGGGGGAGCTTCAGTGGGACACCAGTGAGGACATGTGCAGGAGGAGCACAGAGAGGCTTCAGGGCTGTCACTGAGTGATAAGATTCCTCATCACGTTGGTCGCCTTATATGGTTTGATTTCAGCGTGACCCCCAAGCCCTGCTGACCCTTCTGATTCTGCTGGCAAAGAAATGATTTAAAAATAGCCAGCAGTGCTATTTCCAGTGTCTGTGGGAGTTTTGGGGGGGTCTGTGGTGGAAGAACAACATGGCTGTGGACATGAGTCAACTGGGGTAAACAAATGTTTCAGGAATGAGTGTGGTGGTGATGGAAATTCCAGGCTGAAGGAAGGCATGGCTCCAGCAAGCAAGTGCAGCCTGGGGAACACCTGACACAGTTCTCCTCTACCATTCTCCCATGTCCTGACAAAACATTTCAAGCCTGACCTAGTGGAACAGGTTTTTGAGTGAAGAAGAGAGTTTAGCCTCTGTAGCATCGTCAGATTTCTGACCAGGGAGACATCAATTAAGCTCAATTCAGCCAAAATGTTTGAGAGCAGCTCAGGATCCAGCAGCATGTTTGCTGTAGCATCGTCAGATTTCTGACCAGGGAGACATCAATTAAGCTCAATTCAGCCAAAATGTTTGAGAGCAGCTCAGGATCCAGCAGCGTGTTTGGTAGGAGATAATGGGAGAGCAGGTCTCTAAAATCAACACGTGACTGAGTTCATTGTGGAGTCCCACAGCTATCAGCTGTTTTGCAGAGAACAGAGCACTTCCAAGTGCTATGAATATGGGCTAGACATTGTCCTAAAGGCCCACACATCACTTGGGTCCTCTCAGACTCTAACTCAGCCTCTCTCTCAGCTATTAAGTTCAATCTGCATAAAATTAATCAGCCCAGCAATGGTAAAGTGACCAGCTTTTGGACTCTTCCTGTTTGGTACCTCACAAACTGGCCTTGGACTTCCCTCCAACACTGAGACTAGAGGTGAGACTATCCTGGCAGTCACTTTTTCTCCTCTGAGTGCACCCAGTAGAAGACAATGCTTTTGTTTTTAGATCTGTGGGGCAGACCTTCCACAGCAGCCTGGCCACTAGCTGGAGTAACACGCATTACTCAGCAGAGGACCATCATGGAAAGAAACCCAGCAGCAGGTCACTCTGCTGCTATTTTGTCCCTGCAACATAACCTATTTCAGGATGGCCACATTTAGAAAGATTTCATCTATTTCTAATTCCTAAACACCACTATTTTTAAACACAGCACTTAAAAAAAGTCTGTCGTGCTCGTTCAGCATCTGTCTCCTTCCCAGAACAGCCCAGACTCACCATCTTTTCCTCACAGGCAAGAATCTGTCTTGCCAAGACCTCTTGACCTCCTGGTCTGTTTTGGTGGAAACATTTCCACCGTAACTTCTGTCAGTGATTTTGTCCACTGATTCATTTCCTTCATAATTAAAATGACATGATTACAACGTTTGTGTCTCAAAACATTGCTGGAATGATCTTCAAATAAAAAAATTTGAAATATTAGCTCCCTGTGGGGGGGAAAAAGCCTTACATAACTTTATTGCTAAAATAAAACCTAGTTGTGAAAGGTGCGTGGATGGATTTAACCCTTTGAATCTGATCTTAGCCTAGTTGCTTATTGAGTTGCTGCAGCATTGGTTTGGGTCACCAAGGATTAAAAAGTACTGTGACTATCTTGGGAACATACAGCTTTGAGGAACTCATCCAAACATAAGAGCTGGCAGAATTCAGAGCAGGAACAAACCCACATCAGACTCAGCACTTGGAAGTGGTGTAGTATAAAATGAATAACTAGTCTTCAGCCTGCCTCAGATATCTTGAGGACCTCTTATGTCTGAGCTGTAGCTCCCAAAAGTGCACCTTGAAGGGCTTTTTCCTAAGTAAATAAGAGTTAGGGCTTTAGAAAATATGTTTTGGAGGCTTCAACATGTTCCTGTCTCCATAAAGCATTGGAGTAGTACAAAAAGGTTGCAAATTGAGGTGAAATCTTTCCCCTGTGTGGCACCAGTGTCGTTATTGTTGGAGATTTTTCATATTAGCACTTCTGTGTAATAAGAATGGTAGCAATGATTAGAGAGCCCTTTTTTGGATTTGAAATGTGCTCAATTACTTTTGAGAGATGAATTTGAACAACACAGGGCACAAGAGAGGCAGAGGAGTGCTGGGCACTGCCACGAGCCAGCTTCACCCTCAGAACTTGCTTCATGGGGAAGAAACCAAGTAGTAAGAATCAGACATTCACCTTCCAGGACACTTCTGCACTTTTTGTTCTGAAAATGGTTATTTTGAGGCAAATTCTACCAGCCAACATCCACTCATCCAGAAAGTGAACACAGAAATGATTCAGTTTGTTCTGGTTAAGCATTTGAAGAAGGCTGTCCTCAGACTCTTCTCTTTTTTTAAGCTCCCATCTTTCCTACAAGCATTATGTAGGTCTTGATCTCACTACTGAAGAATTTCTGTGTTGAAAGGTTAGGCAGATATTTGTTTGGATTTGTGTTCTTTGGAGAAATAGCATGTCCACCTCCTCCCTCCTTAAAGTCCACTGGAAAGGCTAATTGCTCGGGCAGGGATCCAACATCACAACAACTCCCAGTGGTATCAGCCCTGGATTAGGGCTGGATATTGGCCTTGCTCACCTTTGCTATGTCTGCTGACTTAATTGGAGACCAACCATTCTCCTGAGTCAGGGAGAGGCTGCAGGCATTTGGAAGACAGCAGAGGACATAGCTTTGGACAGAGGTTTCATGAGGACAGCACTCACATGTCATGAGTGTTGCTCTAAGACACAGGCAGCCAGACTCAGGGCTTGCATCTGCAGCTTGAAAAGGGCAAGAGGGGCATCAGGCTTGATATCAGACATGCCAAACCCTTTGGTGCTCTGAGGCAGGAGCCAACCTTGCATGTGGTGAAGAGCTTGGGACTGGGTCACTGGGAGTGCTCTGAAAACACAACATGAAGGGATTCACAGAAGTTTTAAGGAGCACTCCCCAGTGCTGGAAAACTTTAAGGTAAATCAGACCATCAGCATCTCTTTTTTGTGCAGTGTGTGTTGTTACCTGAGACGTAGAACTCGATGCTCCTCTCGTCTGTGCCCACCTTGTTTGAAGCCAGGCAGTAGTAGACTCCTGAGGCACTGCTGTTTTCCATAGTCAGGGTGCTCACAATCTGCCAAGCAAAGGGAGAAGAAAAGGCTCTGAGTGTAGTGTAGGCTGAGCAGAGAGGCTTCAGAGTATAAATATATGTTTTATGGTACAACAGTAGTTAACAAAGGAGTTTCCAGTGCTGAGTGAAGCTCACAGACAAAGGCTTCTCTGAGGTTTTTGGTCTCTCACCTCATATCACCTCAGCCCCAGTTAATTCTCTTCCCTCCTCATTCCTAAACCTTCCCCTTCTTTTCTTCCTGTCTCCACCGTGAAAAACAGGGTTCCCCTCTGACACACTGCTGAGGTCCTTGTGTGACAAGATCAGGAAAAAGCTGAAGTGAAGGACCTGGAAGATTCACCTCAGACCCTGGAAATGAGCCCCACATCCACCTGCTTTCTTCTCTGCTTCTCAGTTATGGCTTTGGTGGGTAACAGGACCCCCCTGTTTGCATGGGAAGAGGGTCATTCATGTGGACGTGGTCTAAAGAACACTGCAGGATTTTGCTTTGCTCTGCTGTAAGGGAGGATCATGAAGGAGAAGGAAGGAACACTTCTCAGCTTCACAACACAGAGAAGGGCAGTGGATCAGTTACTCATGGGGCTGAACTCAGACACGTTCTTCAGAACTTGTGTTCCTTCAGCATCCTACACCCCTGTTTCTGTTCAGGGGCTTCTTCCTGAGGAGCTGGCCATACAGCACCCCCCTGTCTCTGTCATGATGCAACATCACAAGCTCATGGAGCAGGTTCATGGCTCTAATTATTTCTAGTAGCAAGCAAGCAGGGTCTAACCCACCAAGACAGAGATGTTCTTGCAAGATTACTTCACTTCCCCTGCAGCCATTCACCTGAGGAGCTCTGAGCCCTCACATTTGGAACAAATATCACTTTCTTTGCCATCCTCTCTATGGACTTTGAGAATCAAAACTTATAACACCCTCTGGCCTTTTGTCCTTATCTCCAGAGAGCGCTTTGAAGTGCACAAAAGCATCTCTGGACTTTCTTTTTAATATCCTAAACTAAACTCACACAAGACATTCCTCTGCTCCTCATAAAGCTGCACCACGAATTTGTCTGTAGCTGTGTGGGATGTATTTTCAGAGAGTTATTTAAGATTTTCTGAGCTTTGGCACTTTATTAGGGAAATGAGTTTCAAAGGTTTTGATCCCTTGTGCATTTTACATTTTAATGGGGAACATTTTCAGCAGAATAATGGGTAAGAGGAAAAATATCTACTTGTCATGGGCACCAAACACAGCAACTAACCAAGAAGAGGAACAAACCACATTTAGGGGTGAAAAGAGGAGACCAGTAAACCCAGCTCCCTCTGGTGTCCACCAAAGAAAGAGCTGCACAGTTCTCCTTTATTCCTGATGTGAAAATAGCTCTAAGTTGGATATAAATTCACCCAGAGCAGCAGTCTGCTCCTCCTCCCTGCAGCAGTGGGCCCAATGCCACAGGTTATTACCAAGCACATGTTCAGAGCACTACCCCTGGCTTGGAGCAGGAGACACTGGCCTTTGAATTGCTGCTGAATCAGGACCAAGCTCTTTCTCCTCATGTTTACTGGATCTTAGAATTTTGTATTTGGGAATAGAAAAAGCCCTTATAAATGTAGGTGCTGAGGACAGAAGGGGATAAATTTGGACAGCTATTTAGCAGCTATTAGTCTTGCTAAGTGGCAGCTCTAGATGGGAAGTTGAGGATAATGCTGTAGAGCCAGTTAAAATCATAAAGGGGAATGTAATCCCCCAGTTTGGACTATATCCAAGGTGTTAGGGCTGACACTGTGGCTCTCCTGAAAACTGATGCAATGCCTCAAGCTGCATTTGGTGGCCCAGAGGCAAATGCACAGGTACACTCAGGAACACACACACATCCTAACACCTCCAACTACACAAGCCAAGAAAAGCCTGACATGGTAATGGGAAAACAAAACAAAGCAAATAACTCTACTGCAGAGACCTCATCTTAGCTGCTTCCATTGTGTCTAAATGTGACAGTGAAAAAGGTGTTAAAATGATGGTAGGAAAAAATCTGGGGACTAGTTAGTGAGAAAAATCCCTGAGATTAGGAGTCCAGTTGTCTTTCCAGCATCTTAAACAAAATCCTCAGCTGCCAAACTAACCTAACCCTGGTTTAGTTCTCAACAGAGTGATACTATACCAAAGGGCATCCAAATCCTCCTTCCTTCTGTAAGACCACATAGATTTGTCTTTCAGGACCCTGCAAGAAACATTTAGGAAGCCAGCAGCAGCATCTGCTTTTTGAAGTAGCTGTAGATCAAGGAGATCCCATTGAAACCAGTCAAGGAGATCCCATTGAAACATAACCCCTCTTAACCCAGACATTCAACCCCATAATATTCACAGTGCTGATGTTTTGGCAGTCGTTCATCACCTGCCACTGTAGGCAACCCAAGCTAAACAAACTTCACCACGTGGAATGGATCTGTACTTGGTCACAGTGGCAGGCTACAAGGATGTTGTTCTTCTGAATGCCACCCCTCCATTTTCAATGCAACTTTCATTTCAAGGAAAGTTTGCAAAAAGAAGCTGAGTGAGAAAATAATTTGAACTCCAGCAACCAAACACAGGAATCTTTTCCCATTATTAACAGTGAAAACTGTTAACAGGCTCCTCTCAGTGAGGTGGCACCGTCCCAGCATTTGAGGACCTTTAGTAGAGAGTGGAAAAAATGCTGAGGGGATAATCTACTTTGTGGGCTTAGTCCATGCACCTGGCAAAGTGTTTTCTATTCCTGGAATCAGAGCCAAGACAGAGGAGTTTGAGACATGTTGGTGTTTGCCACATCAAGACTCATGAAATCACAGAAAGAACTTAACTGCTGGTGGTCTCCTCTCTGACCTCTTACTCCAAGCAGGGCTCCCATCAAAGCTGTCTCTCATGTCTTCCACCCAGAAACCTCTGCTCCCTGACAGAGCACTGCACCTTCTCCTCAGCCTAAATAATGATGCTGATGTGAAATCTGAAATTGCCTTGAAGCTTTGTCTCTCTCCAGTGAAACTGCTGTTGGTGATGGATTTACAGCCTGGGAGTTTGCACTTTTTACTTCACCTTCTTCTCCATGTCCTAGAGTCAAGAGCAGCTCAAGGTAAATGAGACATTAACCCCTGGCAGGGTACCTGACCACATGTGGCATCACAGACTCTGTGGCTGTCCAGTCCTAAGCTTCTGTGCAGGTTGTGCTGGAAATGATGGTAATTACCAACAAATTATTGGTGTGGGATGTCTAGAGATCTTCCTAGTGGGAGCTGGACCAAGATCCTCTGAGTTCACCTACCAAACACCAGCCCTGGGACCAGGTTTGACTGCCTGTGTTGGATTTGGAAGTGAAGGGCTCCCTTTCCTATTACCTAACCTAATGGCCACCCAATCCTACGAGCCCAAAGAAAGGATTATTAGCCAGTAAATAATTGCTATAAAAGCATAAACTAAGTTTAAAACTCAATAAGAAAAGAAAGAAAATTACCAATCTCTGAAGAACAGCCACGACAAGTAAATGGACATTGCTGCTGGGAAAACTCACACTGGAATAGTTCAACAGAGTCCATATGTCTTACACTGCAATGCTCCTGGGCTGATAAAGCCAAACTATTTTAGAAACAGCCAAATCACATTCCACAGCCATGTACCATGAGTGTTTCAAGACATCTCGTAGTAAGGACAGAGCAGCAAGGCATTTTTTAAAGCTGGAACCAGCGTGAATTAATCTCTCTTGTTATTCCTTGCCTTTTCTTTCCTTTGTCTAATCCCTCCCTCCAATGGCTTTTGTTAACAGTCCTTCTCTCTTTCACTTCGTTAGCTCTGTGTGGGCGAGGATGAGGAGTAGAAAACGTGGGTGGAAAACTTCTCAGCTGTCTGTCTCTGGCAGAGCTGGGGTGGAGGTGGCTGGAGATGAAATTATAGGAACTTCACCAGAGACCTCACAAAGGAAATATTCCACTAGCTCCCAGTCCATCTACTTGAATGGCACAGAATAACACTTATTTTTATAGCCTGACAATTCTGAGCCATGAGTTTGGTTCATTCATTCAAAACACCCTAAAGGGTGGACTAAAGATGAGTGAGAGGAGAAGTCTGAGTCGAGTGAGAGCTCGCAGGGTTTGCTCTCTTCTCTGGCAGTGGATGTTCCTCTCCTGGTACACTGAGAACAATCACTGCTGTCCTCACAGTGTGGCAGAGCTGGTGGTGGTACTGTGTGCTCAGGAAAGGTGCTGGACAGGACAGGAAGCTGGGGAGAGGCAGAGGTCTGAGGTGGTTCTGGAGGAACTGGTGTAGATTTCTAGTAGGGATGGACTGATCTCTCTGACTGTAGGGCAGGTGAGTAGGTGCTGGCTGGTTGTGAGGAGTTACCACCCTTTTGCTTCTTCCTTTTGCTTCTTCCTCACTCCCAGTGTTTGCAGCTCATAAGTTTCAGAGGGCAGGGAAGGCAGAGGACCATTTATGTCCCTGCTGCTCCCCAGGCTCTCCCAAGACGACCTACCAAGGACAGTGGAGTAGTCCACGTGCTGCTGTGCTTGGGTAGTGCCTGAACCATCCAGACCCTCCCAGGGTGGATGCTCTGTTCAGAACCCAGGTCCCTGACTGTTCACCTTCCCCTGCCAGAGCCTGCCAAGGCTGGTGGGAGCTCCCTGCAGCAGGCACCCACACAGGGGGCAGATTCAAACAGCCCTGCTGAGTTCCTCACCTACTTTTCACCCAATGCAGTCCACTACTCTGATGTCTTTTTATTCCTTCAGGAGGATTAAACCTGGTATTTTGGGGTAATTTTTTTGAGGGGTTATGAATTTCATCAGCAAAAGAGATGTCTGAGTTTCACTGCAGAAACATCCATGTGGCCAGGCCCCTCTCAGAACTACATGAGAGAAAGAAAAGAGATGAAAAGAACCCTGCAATGAGGACTGATGTATGGATCTCACTGTTCTTTTCTGCTGTGTCCAGTTCTCCCAAGCTCAGACCCCTATGTTTACTAACAGAAAAGAAAACAAAATAGCCACCTAGCTCCATGCAACCTGAAGAGGAGATTCAGGTAATTGATGCAGTCGTGGGTGTGTTGTTTGGTGTTAAAAAGCAGTCTGGAGAGGTAGCTGCACAGGAGTTTAAATCACAAAGTGGAAAGTTCAATATTCACTCAAAACCACTGGAAAAATTAAACTAGCACCATGCAATTGCCTCAAAGATGATTTGACCAAAACTTCAGTGAGGTACTTCATAGTGTTAACAATAACCACAGGCTTCACTTGGCCTGTAGGAGACAGGAGGGGGGGTGGGAAATCACTTCTCTATCTCTGAATAATAATGGAATGATCGTTATGGTGATGACAAGAGACCTCAATTTTATGTGTCACTTTTGTCAACTAGTTATCAAAGATCTCGATGGGATCAAAAGTCTCATCAAGCATCAGTGATCTGCTGGAAAAATCCTTGCCTGCTGCCCTGCAAGCCTGCTTTGGAGCAAGACTTTGGCTCTGGTCATTTCTGGGGGTTTGTGCCCATCTTCTTAGTTGTGTAAATGCATTTTTTTGTGTGTGGCTGAACCAGGAGGTATTGCTGTGCACCCTCAGTGAGCTTGCTGGTGATACAGAGCTGGGCAGGAGTGTAGATAAGCTTGAGGGTAGGGAGGCTCTTCAGAGGGATCTGCACCCAGGGAGGTTTAGGCTGGATCTGAGGAAAAACTTCTTCATGGAAAGGGTTATCAAGCATTGGAACAGGCTGCCCAGGGCAGTGGTGAGTCCCCATCCCTGGAGGTATCTAAAAGACATGTAGGTGAGGTGCTGAGGAGCTTCTGTTTAGTGGTGGACTTGGTACTGTTGAGTTAAGAGTTGGACTTGGTGGTCTTAAAGGTCTTTTCCAAGTGAAATGATTCTGTGATTCTGTGGTCTTTATTATTTCATCTGGCTGGTCAATGCAGATGAATTACTTGCTAGGACATGGTGGGAATGAATTGGGCTGTTTCCTGTCTGTTCCATGTCTGGTGGGAATAATGACTGATAAAATACAAGGAAAAGTCTGGAGGCTCTTAGCTTTCATCAGTGTCTTTTTTGAATTATATTCTATTATCTAAAGACTTTACTTAATACAGATAACCTTGGACTTCAGGAAGGGGTAAGGAGAGGAATTGTCTGCTAATGTAAGCAGGGAGACAGAGTGCTGAAACCTGAGATTCATAAAATCTAGTTATATTGATTTGCATAAATCTTAATCAGGACATGAAAATTATTAGGAAACACCTCAGGATGTGTTTTCAACCAGTGGATCAGCAGGAGGTGAAAATAATGAATGTACTATAAATTGTAAAATTATGTAACTTGTACAGAAGTATTTTTATGAAACTTTAATAATGAAATATGTCAAAGCTTAAGTTAAAGGGCTGTAGGCTGAGCTTTTGAAGACGTCTCAAAATGAACAGTTCAGGGTGCCTGGAGTCTATAGAAAGAGCAGAGGTGGCTGTGCAGGGCAGCTGGGTGGGAGCTAACGTAGCTTTAGAAGTGATCAGCACACAGAAACCAAGCTCTTGGACACCAGGTCATACATTTAGGTGCATGGAGAGAAGCAGTAGCCATGAGAGCTGCAAAACTCTTGTCAGTCCATGCAGCAACCAGAGTCTTGGAAAAGGAAGAGACTTTGTAGGCACCTCACCAACCTCCATTCTTTACAAGTAATTAGCACTTTGTAGGTAGTTCCTTTTACCTAAGAACTAAAATCTGTAGAGAATTTTCTTTTTAAAAAAAAAGAACTTAAGGGGCACTATGCCATCTAAATAAATCCAATTTATAAATATCTTCCAGGAATGGGAAAACTCGGGCATGAAATGTGAGCTCTGCTTCTCCCCTTCCCAGCCCAAGCTCCATGTTTTCAGAGCTCTGGTTCAGATTATGTTTAGAGCTGGAAAGTCTCCATGAGAAAGAGCAGATGGCTCAGGCACTGATCCTGCCAGATGCTGATTTAGTCTGGACCCCATCCAGAAGAGCACTTTAGCCTTGTGCTTAACTTTAAGCATGAGAGTAGCCCCAGAATTATCATCTGCTTAAAGCTGCACTGGGATCTGAACAGCAGCATCCAGCACCTTGCAGGATGAGGCACTGAACTATCTGGAGCATCCACTGTGACACCTGTAGCTGCAAAACCACATGGAAAGCCACAAACCTCTCTAAGTGCAGCAGGAGTAAAGCAGTGCTCTGAGCCAGACCACAGCATCTCCCCCAGGGCACGGGGTTCTGTGAGTCCAGAGCAGAGCTGCTGCAGCAGCTTCTCCAGGCTTAGCATGGCTGGGTCAGCAGAGTCACTCAGTGTCACCACAGGTACCCCAGGAGGCATTCAGCACATAATTCATGGCTGGGACCTTTGCTCTTCACATTCCCCCAGTGTTTTTTGGGAGGGGAAGGAGGCAGGGAAGTGTAGAAGGAAGGAGGGCTTCCCACTTCCATTGGAAGCATGATTGGCAACCCAATGGGGTGAAGAAACATTGACAGCTCCAGCTGAATCAGGCAGGCACTGCAGGCACATAGACCCTCTGAAAATCAGGCCACCTATCTCTAGCCACCCTGGGCCTCTTAAGTGACACATCTGCTGAACTGCTGCTGCTGGGAGAGCTGGGAAGGTTGGGCTGTACCAAGTGCCCTCAAAGTGTGAAGCATTTTAATGAAGTCAGAGTCCTTATCAGTTGTGTGTGCTTCACAAGACCCCTCTTGCACTGAACCAGTCTTACACTTTCTCAGGACTGAAGGAGACAGAAAGGTTTTTGACCCAAAAGTCTTTGGAGAGTTTTGAACGGGGTGTGTGACATCATTGCCAGAATCCCAGCATTTATAAACAGCAGAGATCTGAAAATGATCCCAGGGCTGTGGAATTTAAAGCATGCTAACAACCCACAGCAGCTTGGGAACTGCAGGAAGAGAGCTCGGGGTGAGCCCACTGCTATTCCATGACATCATGGCTCAGATTTCCATCAGACACATACCTTTCTTTTATCCCCAAAATTCATGGGTATGTTTTCAATGCTTCTGATCTTGTTGCCCATGAAGGTGTTCTCCTGAACCACAATTTTTTGCCCATCGGGGTTGCACCTGGAGGAAGAAAAGCAAAGGTGGTGTTGAAGAGCCTGACTCATGGCAGATAACCCAGGGAGGTGTTATTAAGGAGGCAGAATGTCATCCTTACACAATGGTCTTAGGTCTTAAACAAAGCTATTGCTGCTGGAGATTGTCACCTCCTCACAACATTTCAAAATCATTTACAAAGCACATTGACAGAGGTGGAAAATGATCAGTATATGATTCAGCAAAGAACCCACCCAAACTTTCTAAAGATTGAAAATGGAAGATACTGGACAGCTAATTAAATCCTGAGAGTTTAATCTGGCTGAGTTATGCTCCAGCTCAGTGCAGTTGTGGCTTTGGAAGTTCTCTTTTAGCTTTGGCAGTGCATCTCAGAATTCAAAATGCCAATCATCCAAAGCCATGGGGAGGTGAGTGTTGCTGAGTCTGTCTGTCTGTCTGTCTGTCTGTCTGTCTGTCTGTCTGCTCAGCCTCCAGGAGTGCAGGCTGAGGGAGCAGAAGAGATAAATACTGGGATTTGGACCCCTCACTGCAAGAAAGACATTGAAGGGCTGGAGCATGTCCAAAGAAGGGCAACGGAGCTGCTGGGGAAGGGTCTAGAGCCCAAGTGTGGTGAGGAGCAGCTGAGGGAGCTGGGGGTGCTGAGCCTGGAGCAAAGGAGGCTCAGGGGAGACCTTCTGGCTCTGCACAGCTCCTGACAGGAGCCTGGAGCCAGGGGGGGGTCGGGCTCTGCTCCCAGGAACAAGGGACAGGACAAGAGGAAACAGACTCAGGTTGTGCCAGGAGAGGTTTAGGCTGGACCTGAGGAAAAATGACTTCCCTGAAAGGGTTGTGAAACCCTGTCCCAGGCTGCCCAGGGCAGTGGTGGAGTCCCCATCCCTGGAGGGGTTTAAAGGACATGGAGATGTGGTGCTGAGGGACATGGTTTGGTGTTGCCCTGGCAGTGCTGGGTTGACAGTTGGACTCAATGATCTTAAAGGTCTCTTCCAGGCAAAACTATTCTATGCTAATGAGAGCAGAAGGCTCCTTTAACATTGCCTGTTCCCCAGAGGATAACTGTACTTCTGTCCATTATCCATCTCCATTTTGGAACCATGGGCCAAGAGCAGTGTATGTAGCACGTCATGTGGAGAGTTATATCTGCACCACCTGAGGCAAAAGGCTTTTCTGTCTTATTTAACTACAATCCTTGGAACAAATGGGCAGAGAGACCCAGCCCTGATGGTTGGGAGCACAGAGGCTTCAGCAGGGCTGGAGCTCCAGGCGTCCTGGCTGGGGGAGCTGCCAGCTCTGCAACTCAGGAAGCCTTTAATCTTCAAGCTGCCAGTTAGCTCCAGTCCAGTGTGGCCAGAGGTTACAAACTGTGACACTCTCATGGCAAGTGAGTGGAGTCAGTTCAGTTCCACAACTGGCTGCAACTGCACTTTCCACCAGTCACCACAGGGTGTGACAGGAAAGTGTCCTTGTTGCCTCCTCCTCCTCTCAGCAGAGGCACCTCTGGTCCCAGCGACCTCACAGCAGCAGATGAGGACTAGAGAAGGTAAAAGGAATATGGATTTCTGTAGGTGATGAGCAAAGGTTGATGCTGCAGCAAACTCATCCAGAAATCAGCCATGCCTTTGCCAAAGCTGCACAAAGACATGAGTAACACCCTGGGTCAAGGGAGGGCTTAGAGCTCTCCAAAGAGCCTAATTAGAAGATGTCTTGAGTGACTTCCTGCAAGGCACAATTCTGTCTTGGGGATGAAGGGGAAAAGCTCAAAGGAAGCAAATCACATCCCAGCTATGAGGAACAATGATAGTGTTTGGGGATTCAAAGTGCACCAGTAAGGAGGGGGGAGAGAAAGAGAGACAGAGAGAGGAAGTGAAACAACAGAAGGAAATGGGGGCTGTGTCATTTCCCACAGGAATCCTCCTACAGCTTCTGCTGGAAGGAGATAAGGCTGCCCCGGGGGCCAGAAGAGGTAGAGCCACTTTGCAATTGTGTTTAAATTGATAAGATCAGAGAGGCAGGGAGCTGGAACAAGGGTTATATGAGGTCTTTTGCCACTGGATCACCGGTTGGAATCTGGCTTCATTTGGTTTTCATCACCAGTTCTCTCTCCATAGACAGAAAGGTCTGGAAATGATTTCAGGTCATCTCTGTGGCATTCCTAAAGGACTCATAACTTGTTTCTATAGGGTGTTTCCATCCTGCTCTTGCTGAGCAATACAAAAGCAGCAGCTCATGAGCTTTCTGCTGACCTGCTGTGCCAACAGCCCTGCTGAAGCCTGCAGACCTCTGCCCTCTTAGTCCTGCAGGAGCAGTGGAAGTGCCTAAACGAGGTCATGGGCTGGTTCCCTCCTGGAGGGACACAAGATCACTTGTTAGACCCAGCTTGGGACTAGGTCACCCAACAGCACTGCAACTGCTGCAGCAGAGAACCTGGGAAGGGACTCCTCTTTGTGATCTTTCTCATTCACATCACGAAAGGGTGAGAAAATAAGAAACCATCCTGCAGTTTTCTCTCTTGCTTCCTGGACCTGCCTTCGTTTTGTTAATGGCTGGAAAACTTCATTGCAGGGAAGGGTTGAAGTGCAGTCAGAATTGTTACACGTGGCTCCTGTCTGTCCCCTGGGGCTAGCAGGGGAACCATTCAGGCCCCAGCCAAGACCTCTCTCTGTAGGTCACTCTGCTCACCTAAAAGCAGGAGCAAAGACAATTTCTACTTGTACAAGGTGAATCTCAAAAGGCATCTTGTGTTTTAACATGCCTCATTCTTCCCTGACAGTTTTGACCCATTGACTTGCTTCTGTGTCTCCACACCTCAGTCTGCCTGCAGAGGTTAGCCAAGAAGGGCCCTCAGGAAGGTGTGAGGGCTTGGCTACCTCCCCCAGCTCCTGCAGCACAGATGCTGCCACAGGAGCTCCTGCTCAGTGTGCACTAGTGAAGCCAGCCCCTGGGAAGTGGCACAAGTTCCATATGGCAATGAAATGAAGCCAAACCCTTAGCAGGTTTGTCTGACAACAGCTCTTGCAGGGGAAAAAAAGTGTGGAACTCTTCTGTGGGACCTCTACACAGGAAGCACCTCTCTGTTTTTCCTTTGTCAGCCACGTAGGCAGCATCCAAGAGGTGTAAGAAAAGATCTTGCTAAGTCAGAGGGACATAGCTGGACAAGTTAAAGAAAATTCAAGCCTGATCTTTAGTCACTTTAAACTTACTAGACCCAGTTCTTGATAATGCAGAAGGTGCTTGTAGCTCCAAAAAGATCACACCCAACTAAATGTCTTTGTAACCCTCGAGATCTTCAGGTGGGGAATCACTGCTTGTGATTTTGAACTCAGAGAAATAAGATGGATGGGAAAGAAAGACTGACTTGAAACTGCCCAGGTATTTTGCCAGGTGTCCCTCCCTGGGGCTGCCCACTTACAGTGTGCCCGTGGGGCTGCAGGGCTGCCACTTCCACTCGATCCTCGGGTCGGGATTCCCGCTCACGGTGCACTGGATCTTGTGTTTGCCTCCTAGTTCCACCCGCTCAATCTTATCAAAATCAGTCTCCTTTTCATAGATCTTGGGTCTTTCTGAAGAAAAAAAACCAAACAAACAAAACTCAAATGAGGAAATTCACATGGTCCTGCTTCTGTCAAAGGTTTTGCAGCTTTTCACTCTGATGGCAAAGTGCTGAATTTATGAGGTCACTGAAGTTGTAGGGCAACTACCAGCAGAACCAAACCATACATTTGCAGAAACGTGTGTTAGTTGTGGTGTTTCAGAAAATTCATTGAAATCCCACCACGTTCATCCTTCCAAATGTCATCACGGACCTTCTCTACCTCTAGAAAATTTATGTCTGTTGGTCAGGGACTGCAGGATCAGGCTCTTAGTCCACCTACTATGGGCAAAATAGTGTTCAACCTCTGATGTCACCTCCTGAGAGGAACCTTATCAAGGGCTGCTGCTCCACAACGTTGTTACCATTGTGCAGGTTCTCCCCAGGGTTCTGGAAGAAAAGGTCTTTTTAATCTGAAAACTTTGCTTTCCTTCCCTCTGTGTAATGAGCACTGGATGAAGGGGCAAAGAAAGGAAGGAAGAAGTGGTGGGGAGAAAACACTTGTAGAGCAACGCCAAGAAGTTCTCACCAACAGCAAAGCCATTAAAACTGTCACTGCATTATTCACATCTGGAGGGGTTGCAAGATCACACCCTTGGACTGGAAATCTCTCAAAAGCAAACTTTGGTGTGACACTTTCAGGGCTGCTCGTTGCCAGCAGGAAAGAAATGCTTTGTCCCATCCACTTCCAGCTCCCACGGGAACATGCAAAAAGGAGAAATAATGCTAAAAAATCCCCAAAGTGAACTGAACTTTTCCTAACCTCAGAGAGGGTGGGTTTGAGTTTGGGGTGAAAGCACAGACTCTTCCCTTATGCAGACAGCTCTGCCCATCCCTGGCCATATCTCTTTGTCTGCTTCTCATAACAGGAAATCAAACAGATTTATTGGTTGGGGTCCCTCTGTGGAACACCTCTGTGCAGCCAAGTGTGGCTGCTTTACACGGAGGGCTTTTGACAAGTTGGGAAGTGAATGTAGATTAGATTCCTAATTTTTGGGTTAACTTATTTTTTCTGCTGTCAAGGAGGCCCCAGATCTGTAAATAGGAGCTACTGCCCACCTCATCAATCTCCAGCCCTTTCCCTCTCTTTTCTAACAGCTTCTTTCCCTTCCAACCCTCTCCTCCTGTGAGAGGACTGACCAGTCTGATCCCATGTCTTGGTGGGACCCTCACGTTCTGTTTCTCACTCCTGCCAGACTCTGAAAGATCTTCTGACCTCATCATTGCCTGAAAACACATCAGCATTTCCTTCTCCACCCCACGAAACGGGGCATTGACTGTAGCTGGGTCAGCTATATCCTGACTCCCATGCTGCAGTAAAACATTAGCTGCTTTAAAAAACCTTCTTTAGATCCCAATTAACATTTCAGTGTCATACAAAAGTGTCACAGGAAAGGTTCCTCAAGTGTTAAGTTTTCTGGGCTGTAAGAACAGAGCTTTACAAACCTGGGGAGTATATTTATGTGGTTTTGTGTTTGTGAGAGGCTATGGGAGACAAGGTTGCCTTCCAGTCTTTTAATATTAGGGGATTTTTCTGTAGTCTTGGTGAAATGATGAACGTGTTGACTGTCACTTAAATTATCCTTCTAAAAAAGAAATAATGATTTTAACTTGATCCAATTCAAATAAGAACATACATGAGTGATGAATGAATCCCTAATTCCACAATTACTTTACTGCACGGCACTATTAAATATTACTTGAAACCTAAAATGAGTCAAAATGATTCATCAATTGAAATAATTATTATTTATGAAGCTTCAGCAATTATTTTCTTAAAATTTGAGGGGCTGGCTAAAAACACCTCCCCATCATGTCTTTCACAGTGCCTTAGAACACAGTTAGTGTGGGGTCCTAGCTGATTATAGGCACGACACTCTGAAATTGAAGCAATTTTTGTGTCTCTCTCTTTTCCCTGCAGTGTTGCAGGGGTGGTAGGTGTCATTCTGCCCCCCACCCTCACTGCAGCACTGCTGGAGCAGGGACGAGGCCCTTCCACAACTTTGTACTCTTTGTACTCTTTGTGCTTGGAGTTGTGGTGGAGTCCCCACCCCTGGAGGGGTTCCCAAGCCGTGGAGATGTGGGGTGAGGGACACGGGGCAGTGGGGACCTGGCAGTGCTGGGGGAATGGTTGGACTCAATGAACTTAAAGGTCTCTTCCAACCAAAAGGATTCTGTGATTGCCCCCAGCATTCTGGGGGTTTGTGATGTGGAATGGGGGAGATGCCTTGGGCTGAAAACTTTCTCACTGTCACAAGCCAGTGATTATCAAGGGTACACCTAGCAGTGCATTTCTCAGAGAACTCTCTCCCTCCTCCAAACAGTGCTTTGCTCTCTTTTCAGTTTGCTTACTCAGCAGCAGGGTGGATTATACACAGACTCTTTATCTTTGCTCCTCTGTAGGTGTGAGGTAAGGCTCAGGGTCTGAATCCCTTTGTGAGCACCTCCAAAATCCAAGTAGCTTCCTGGTTGCACCTGAAATTATGTGTCTGAAGTGTGGTTTTCATCAACACCCACACATCTGTGGTGTTGCTGCTTTTCAAGCATGCAAAATAAAAAGCTGTTTGGAACGGGGAGCTTTAGGAGTTGGACTAATGGCAGGACACAGGTTGAGTCACCAAGCCAGCAGCCTCTGCAAGACCCTTCAGTGCTCCTTGCCTCCTCCTGCAAGTGCAGTGCACAGCCCTCCCCTCTCCTTGGAGCTCTGTGCTGTGCCAAGAGCCTGACCTCAGCACCCTCTGCTACCCTACCTTGGGCTCAGCCAGCACCTTCCTGCAGAGCCTTGCCCCTAACAAGCAGTCCTGCCTGCTAGGGTGGTGCTGAACTGCAGGAGATGTTGAAATATGCTTCATCCCTGGCCTGAAGCATCCCTCCCTATCCCACTCCTGCCTTCCCACTCCCCCCTGTGCTGAGATCTGCCTGCTTGCTTCCCCCCCAGCCTCCCATCCCTTGGCCATTGCCTTCCTCAGGCTGAGTTTTCTCCAGCAGAAGCCAAACAAACCTTAAAAGCTTTCTCCTTCCTGGCTGCCTTTGGAACATGTGATGTTCAGATGGCTTTAAATGTATCGAAATAAATGGGTTTTGGTTTCTCTGGCTTCAAGTGTGACTGTATCCCCAGCTCTCTTTGCAGAGGTGCAATTGCTGCTATGAGAGCTGACCTGAATAACTAAAGACCCTGCTGCTGCTGCACTGTGAAATGCAATCCAAAGGCAGTTCTGCTCTCTGTGAGTTCCAGATGGATCAGCGTTATGTAAATCTCACCTCACTTCCTAGTGGTGCCTCTGGTTAGGCACAAAACAAGGATTGGGACATCCACCCTCTGGTGTTGCCCCTTCTCCATGGAACTCCTCTCTCTCTCTAAACTCATTGCAGATGTGATTGGGGGGTTGCACACTTGTCACCCAAAGCAGCATCCAAATATAGAGGACAGCACATAGAAAGTTTCCCTGCCCTTTTTTAGAGAAACTTTGCTTTACTTTCCATGCCCTCTGACTGAACTGCTGTTTGCATACCTTCCCCACTGCCATTGAAACTGGGTTTCAAAAAATCTTTTCACATAGCCTGATCTAGTGGGAGGTGTCCCTGCTCATGGCAGAGGGGTTGGAACTGGGGGATCCTTGTGGTCCCTTCCAACCCTGACAGATTCTGATCTGTTTTGGCAGAGGACTTTGGAGCCCTGGTGGCTCGGTGGTTGGACTGGATGATCTTGGAGGTCCCTTCCAACCTAAATGATTCTATGATTCTATGAAGCACATCATTAAAATAACATCAGAGTGGTCCAGTGAAGCATTTAGTCTCCACCTTATATACTTTGCTGGACGTGGGGCTTCATTAAAACTACTGATAGAGTAGCAATTTGTTTTCTATTTATCCTTTCTGTTTCCCAGAAGCCAAAATAATTTGCACTTTAGAGTTTTTCATCTGATGTCTGTGCAGTACTTAACAGAAATATAAGCTCTGCAAGTGGAGCTAGGTGAATATTCTGTCAGGTAGATAAGAAACTCATTAATGCCATTTGGACTGGTCAAATGGCATGGGAAAAAGAGGATGAAATTTCCCCCAAAGTAAAACAAGTTTGTCTGTGTTTGGTTTACAAGCAGTCTCTGTGTTTTGGTTGTTTGTGGGGTTTTTCTTTTTTCTTTTTTTGTTAAGAAAGAAAAAAATGGAGTTAATTGACCTGAAAAGAAAACTTTTGTTTCAAGCTGAAGAGAACATTGTGTTTGACCCCAGCTGGTTTTGTCTGGGTGGTTGTCTGGGTTGGGTTCTCTGGGTTTCAGTTGTATTTTGTGCAGCACTGCAGATGGGTCTGGCACTGCCAGCAGGGTGGAAGCCAGTGGGAGAGAAACCACAGGGGCAGGTACTGCCTGAACAGGTAGTGAGAGGAATCACAGGGCACCTCACCTGCCCTACAGGGAATTTTGTTGTTCCAATGGCCGTGCAGCTCAGGTTTGGTTTTTCTGATCTTGTACTGTCACTGGGAAGTGTCTGTCTTCACCCTGGAGGAGGAAAAGTGACTCTTCTGGTCCTGTACCACCTCTCCCAGGTCTGTCATTCAACGCTGATGCAGCCAAGCTTTGGGGGGAAAAAAATGCTCTTCTCTTCTCTTCTCTTCTCTTCTCTTCTCTTCTCTTCTCTTCTCTTCTCTTCTCTTCTCTTCTCTTCTCTTCTCTTCTCTTCTCTTCTCTTCTCTTCTCTTCTCTTCTCTTCTCTTCTCTTCTCTTCTCTTCTCTTCTCTTCTCTTCTCTTCTCTTCTCTTCTGTCTCTCCCCATCTTATTTTTTGTGGCTAAACAGAGCTCAGAAGCAAATGCCTCACGATGAACTGCTGAGGTTTTAGCAGAGCAGGCAGTTTTCTAGGATTTTTGCCTCTGCCCCCCTTGCCTGCTTTCCCAAAGAGAGAACAGTTGCTGTACCTGCAGGCTTGGCTGAGGACAGTGTGGAAACCACAGGCTGCCTCCTCCCAGCCTCCCCCC